AGTGATCATATCGGGAAGGGGGCACCCACTGATAAGATTTTTTTGTTCTTTGATGTCTGATACCTGGCCCCTTCTACACCTTGGGGTTACATAGGCTGGTGTGCTTCTTCCATGTGGGCTTTGATGCTTCTGAGCTAGATGGCTGCTTGTTTACCTGCAAGCCTTTAAGACCCCAGATACTTTATCTTTTGATAGCCGGACACTATCACCTTTCTTCACCACATTTGCTTATGCACACATTTGTCTTCAATGATTGTATCGGGAAGGTGTGTATCATGGAATGCCAATTTAATAGAGCAAAGTATTCTTGCATTGAGTAAGTATTTGAGTGGAGGTCCAATGTCCATCTGCTGCCTTAATACTAAACCCATAAATATATGCACGTTGAGCTATTTCCCCACCATTCTGTATAAATATATATGTACATGCCTGTATTTATACCTCTATAAATACCCTTTGTCTCCTAGTTCTTTTGTAAATTTACTTTTTAATGTAAAAGTCACGCATGTTTAGGAAATCGTGCACTTGCCCTGGGTAATTGGTACTGTGGTTTACCAGCAGACTTTGCTCTAGTAATATTTTTGTTATTGCTTGTAGTGTTTTGTTTTCACTCAGTAACACAAGTAGACATGCTTGCTGTTACTAAACAAACTGAAGATCTTTAAAGGAGAAATGATAATCAACCTTTCCCTGTTTCCCTCTTCCATTCTTCTGAGAGAACAACCAGTGTTAGCAGGTGGTGTATATCCTTCATACCTGTCCCCAAGCTCATATTTAACTGGACTTAGTATTTATGTATGTGTGTGGCTATTAGTTTTGTCAAAAGGGAGATCACTTTTTCACTGAAAACCCAACATTGTCATTCTCGTCTGGGAACCTATTTGTCTATACTTAGGTTATTATCATATCTTTTTATTATACGACAACCCTCTATTTAATTTTCATGACTTTCTGAACTGCACCTTGGCCAATTTTCTTAGATATGTATTATTTTATATGAACTTTAAAATAATGTACCCAGTTCCTCCCCACCCCAAAAGCAAACTATTGGTTCTCTTATTGAAATTTCATCAAAATTGTATAGTAGTTGGCCTAACTGGTTACACATGTTAGTACAATGGCCCCTCCTTCTTTCTTCACAGTGGCTGTTTAGGGTCTCACTGCCCTGACTATACCATCATTTTCCTATTAACAGCTATTTCGATTGTCTTCCCTTCTCATTGCTACACGCTATGCTTCATGAATAGCCTCACTTGGGTGAACATGCCTGTGAGAGAAATTCCCAGACCCTGGGCTGACCTAGTTCGACGGAGCCCAAGGAAGTGCACTCTTAGTAGTGTGTGAACAGATACTGGTAACTTGCCCTTCCCAAGACTTTGCACTTACAGCCCTGGAGTGTGTTAGACGCTAACCGCTGCTTTCCTTTGGTTGTCTAGGCTTTCCAGACGGACTAGCCAACCGGAGAAAATCTGAAGAGATGCAAGCAGGCAGAAGACAGTGACCCAGGTGGGTCGTCGCCCAGTTCATACTACTCGCCCATACCATTGTGCCGAAATGCCTTTGTTTGAAGAAAGAAAAGGAATCATTTCCAAACGAGATTTGGCATTTTGAGAAAGGAATGTAATTAGAAAGGAATTTGGGCTCCCTGAAGAAAAGGCAGCCTGGCCTTTCGCAGAAGTTGCCTAAGGACCCTCTGCAGCGGAGCCTTGATTGCATGCGGGCACCGCTGCTGCCGCCGGGTGCCCGAGCTGCTGCTGACTCCCCGCACACAGCAGGACAGCATCGTCCTCGGAGCCCTTGCTTTGGGGGCTCCCGCTGTGTCAGGTCCTCTCACTGAAGGGCTTCCTCTTTCTGAATGACTTCCTTTCTCCTTTATCAAGCATGATGTCCTTGTCCAGGGACTGGTCCCTCCTGATCACGTAGTCAAAGTACATGTGGTGAAGCCACCCTCCCCGCCCTCTCAGGGGCGTTCTGGCTGAACTTCTTCGGAGACAGATGTGGTTTGTCCGTTCTTCTAGCGCTCCCTGGTCTATTCAGCGTGCGCCACCCGCACCATTGTTCAAATGCATCCTTTCGTCTCTGGGCATCTTTATGCGCTGTCCAGCTGTCACGTGTCATAAAACAGCGTGGGTCAGGTGTATCTTTGGCCTCAACGGTGCAGCTTCGGCTGTGCCTTTTAAGCACTTTAGAAAGAGGTCTTTTGCAGTAGGTTTGCAGCAGACACGTCAGGTGAGATTCTGAATGCTGCTTTCCTGGGGGATGATTCTGGATCCCAGTGAAATGAAAACCCTCTAGCTTCCGTCTTTTCTCTGTGTGTCACGATGTTGCGTCTTGGTCCACTTGTGAGGGTTTTCGTTTTCTTTGGGCTGGAGTTTTGATCTTCGTCAGTAAGGGCTTCACATTCCCTTGACTTCCAGCAAGCACGGTTATGTCCTCAGCTGATGGCAGATGGTCGCTGAGTCTCCCTCCGGTCCGATGTCATGTTCTCCTTCATACAGTGTAGCTTTCCAGATACGTGTCCAGCATACAGGTTGCAGAAATTTGGCAGGTGTGGTGAAACGATGCGCAAGTTTCCTGATTTTAAATAATTTTAAAATCACTTTGTTCTTCCCGAGTGACCGTCTTTTTACGTACAGGTTCTGCATGAGCACAATTAAGGATTGTGCAATTCCTATTCTTTGTTATACAGAATTTGCTATGATCCACATAGCTGAATGCCTTTACATAGTCAATAAAACACAAGTCAACATTTTTCTGGTATTCTATGAGACATCAGCCACAGTGCCCCTTGCCCCATGTCCTCTTCTGAATCTGGCTTGAATTTTTGCCAGCATTTACCATACTAATTGAGTTTATTGCTGGAACATTGTTGTTTATAATTCTCTTCAGCAAAGTTTAATGATGTGACATCTTTTCAATGACAAGTGACCCCATCCCTCATCAACTTGTCTTCATTTCATAGCAGACCGACTATGCGTGTCTCATTCAAAAGGACCCACTCTTGTCCATCTCAGCTCACGCATGCCCAGGATATTGATCTTTATTCGTTTCATTTCATTTCTGATGACCTTCAGCTTTCTAGATTACCGTCCGCACAGCCCACATTCCCGTTGTTGATGGCGCTCGGAGCTGTTTCTCCCTGTGTCCTTAGAGCACCAGAAAAGCAGTTTATCTCGTGTGCAAAGGACAGTAGGTTTCCTCGGCCGTTTACTTAAGCAAGCTGAATGATCCACAGAAGATATTAGTAGACTTGAACGTGGCCCCAACTTTCCTCGATACCACATTTGTTTAAAACTGTTCCGTGTGAAGCTGAATGCGGTGCTGGTGGGTCAAAGGCAGGTGGAATCCAGCGCCCCTCTAACAAGGGCCCAGCTCAGTAGTGTGGGGAGAAGAGAAGCTGCAAGTCTCTTACACTTCGTAAAGTGTGAGTCACTTGTCTAGAACTCTTGCCGTTTTTGGGCATTGCTCAAATTTTTTCTTCTTTTTTTTTTTTGGCTCAGATTGTCCCAAGAGCTAAGTGGCTCTGACATCAGTTAATGCTTTACCATTCAAGACAACACCACAGTTGGTTTTTCACCTCAAGCAATACTATTGTCCGCAAATCTGGTGAACCTTTTGAAATGCCAACTTTGGGTAGAGAACCCACAAAGACCCTCTGGCTCTCCATGGATGTGATTGCTCAGGGTTTCAGGCTAGAAGGCAACGCATGCCAAGGTGCCCCGTAGCCACCTGGCTCCTTTCCCTACAGAGCTCAAGTTTTCATAAGGACACGCAACCAGTGGGAGAACTCCTCCTTTCTCTGGAGAGTGCACGGATCCACTCCGCTCTGTGGAGAAGACGTACCAGGAGACCATGTCCGTCCCCCTCTGCCCTCAGCATGAGGAGAGAGCAGCGTGTCCCACACAGCTCGGTGCAGACTCCTGCCTCGGCTAGGAGAAGAAACCCTTTTCATCGATGCAGTTGTGAGCGAGTAGTCACGGAGCCTCTCCCACGAACTGGGCATGGGTACCAGTGCAAACGTGGCAGACAGCCCTCGCTCTCAACAAGCTTGTCAGTAGATAAGTAACAGGTCCAGAGGGCAGGTAAATGGGGAGCCCACTGAGGCTTGAAAGGTGAGTGGGAGATGGTCCGGAGAAGAGTGGACAGGAAGAGGCTGTTGGGCTCAGAGAGTAGCCTGGTCAGTACCTGGAGGCTAGAGAGGACACAGTGTCACGGAGGAACTGGAAGAAGTTCCGTGAACTGCACACAGGGCAGGGGCTGAAGTCAAGTCAGGAGGTGTGGTGAACGAGTCTGGGTTCTTTCCTGATGGCTATGCATGGAAGTTACCGGAGCGTCTTAAGCAGAGACTCAGCTTCCAGTTGGGCTGATGGAGTAGTATGAGTTCCACCCCCTCCCCTAGTCTTCTCTCATGACCTCCTCTCAGGGCCCCTGTCCTTCCATATCTCTCCCTTGGAGAGGGGCTGGTCATGGCATTGGGCGTAACGAGGGTACAATATAAAGAAAGGGCTGCAAGTGGCCTTGGCCAAGCCACTTCACACTGGTAGCCTTCAGCATTCTCATCTTATTGTCTGAGGATCCCAAGTCTGAGATGTTTTACATACTGAGCTGGGGCTTCCAGAACAGTCTCTTTGCTTTGTTTGCCCTGGATCTCTTAAGAAGACATGGCAACTCTTCCAACGACAGCTCCCCCTCTGGTGGTCAGGGACCACCGGGAGGTTTGACCACACAGGGTCAAGCAGCTACTGGAGAGAATTGTAGCTGCCACCCCTTTGCACTGAGGGCCAGCCTGCAGGCTCACAGCCAACTCTCCCTAGATCCTTCAGGGTCACCCCATCAAGAGGGGGAGCCTGTACTGACAAAGGGCCAGGTATGTGCTTGGCCACATGAGTACCCGGGCAGAGCTTCTACAAGGACTGTTTATTTAAGTGAGATGCCCAGCCTTCTGATAAGCACTTCTAAGTACTTCTTAGTCTCATTTTCTTCCATCCTGTGCCATTGGCATCATTCTCCGCCCCCATCTTACAGATGGGGAGCCCAAGGCTCAAAGAGGGGAAACAGCTTGCCTATGGTTAAGTGGCAGAGCCAGACTCAAGAGCCCAGGCTGTCTCCTGTGCTCAGTTTTGCCCACCAGCTGGCATGCCACCTTCTGCAGACCTTTCAGACAGCGTGTCTGCCCCACAGAAATAAAGGGACAGCTCCTTGTCGCACCGCTGACCAATGGTGGAGAGCCAGTGTTAGCCTCTGACCCCGTTCTTCAGCTGTCTCCTTGTGTTGGGGCAGAAATCCTGAGATCTCTCTCTCTCCAAGTCGCGGTGGTCCCAGGAGTTTGGAGTTGTCCAGCTCCTCCGGGTTCCCTGTCAGGGACCCCCTAGCCCCCAGCACATCTTACAGGGACCCCTCTTCTCTGTGGGTAGAGCCAAGGGTCTTGTCTGGCAGGCAACTGCCCTGGAGTCAGAACCCGCTAGCTGCTCAGCCGTAAGGTTTCTGGGCCGTGCCCGACAGTAGCCTCCAGAGCCACCAGGCCTTGAGTTCAGACTCTGCGCCCCGACAGTCCCCTGGAGGCAGATGCTCGCAGCAACTGGGATGCGGTCGTTGGCTCCGGGAACTGTTTATCCAGCCGTGGCTGGTTCAGGAAGGCCAGCTTCCCAAGGGCCTCTGTGGGAGCACAGGGGCTCAGAGCCTCTTCGCCTTGAGAAGGCAGGACTTCTATGAAGACTGGGGCTGGCATGTTTGCCTGGGCTTCCGAGACTAGCTAGGACTCCTGCCATCCTGGGCACAACTTAGAGAACTGTTACCACCCCAAGGCCTTAGAGGTCATCCCAAGCCCTAGGCAACCACTGATCTCCTTTCTGTCTGCAGGTTAGGGTTTTGATCCTTAAAAGAGGAAAGTGGTCCGCAATTTGGCAATTGCAGTGAGTCCTCCCCGAGGACTCATTAGATGAAGGGGGTTTATAAACAAAGTTGACTCTTTCCAAATGGCTTTGTTAGCCAAGGAACCGCCCACACGTCTCTGCCGTGCCCAAGTTTGAAGTTGACACAGGAGGAGACAGCCTCCAGTGTCAGCCGGGCTCTGTCAGGGGGCGAGCCAGTGAGTGATCGTTGCAAAACCACAATAGCTCCGTGGGGCCGCGTTTCCCTTTGCATCAGAACCCATGGTCGCCCAGCACAGGGTCTGCTTGTCACCGAGTCCCTGGCCCGCTCGCTCTATGTCTTGCTGCCCTGGTCAGTGTGAAGGACCCTTGGGTGGATCCGGGTCTCTTGGAAATGCAGTAGGCAGGAAGCGGTCAGACCACATCCTCAAAGGTTCGCTCTCTGGAGCTGTTTCTAGTTAGCAGGTCCGGACTCCCTGACTCTCATTCTGGAGAACAGTCCGGACTCCCTGACTCTCATTCTGGAGAACAGTCCGGACTCCCTGACTCTCATTCTGGAGAACAGTCGTAGGCTGTCTGAGTCTTGTCATCCCTGTCATTACAAGGCACGGCCTGCTTTGACCCCCGTGGGGAGAGAAGCCTGGGGAGCAGGCTTTGGGGAGACGTCAGTTCTCTGACAGGACAGACGGAGAGCCTTCCACATCAGGACCCAGCGCTGCCTGCAGTGTGCCCTGAACTCAGGGACGCCTCTAGGGGTGACCTCACAGTGAAAAGGGTCTAAACTGTGCAGTGTTTCGGCAGAAAGTAGCTTTAACACGAACAAATCCCTGCCATTCCCTCTGCCAGCAACAGTCGTTTTTGCGAGCCCAGCTTGCGTGTGCTAACGCACCTTCAAGGCTGAAAGTCGCTGCTGGTCTGCACCCTGGCTGCTGTCATTCATACCCACCACGGGGATGCTTCCAGCCCCACGGCGGCGTCTGCATGTGCCGTCGTGCCCCTCTCTGCTCGGCGCCGTCAGAGTCACGGATTCTGTCTAAATTTCTGGTGTTCAAGCTACAATGTTGTGGAGAACAGTTATTTGTGAGCCTCATCAATAACTTTTCCTGAGTCTGCGGTAATAATTAAAGGAAAACTAGGAGAGAGAAAGGGCTGCTGCTCAGTTCCTGATTATGCCGTAAATCACAATGCTGTAATTAAACATGGAGAGATTTTACCAGGCAGTTCTGTCACTAGTTTTCATATCCTCTAAGAAGTATTACAATGGGACGGTTTGCAAAGCTTTGTCCCATGTTATTCCATGATTACAATACACTGGGTGTGGGAGGAGGTCCCTGGCAGGTGGTGGGGGTGTAACATGATGAGCCACAACACTCGATGTCACCGACCCTGGGGTCATGCCAGGGGCTGGGTTGGGAAAGGGGAAACCCAGTTCCAGACCTGAATCAGCCCCTCAGTAGTCGGAGGACCCTGGGTGGTTCCGGCCACATCTCTGAGCCATGGACTGGCCTTTGTGAGGGTTCGATAAGGCCGTGCCTCTGCTCCTATCTAGGATAAGGTGACCAGATGTTAACACTGGTAAAGTGGGACACCATTGATAAAACTCATATCCTGGCGAAATAGCCACATGGCAGCCGAAAACCGTATACCCTAGCTTGTCGTGCATTCTTTCCAAAACTCGGGACTTTTTAAAAACGCTGCGGGACGCAGGGAAAAATTGTTAAAAATTGGGACTGTCCCGCCAAAAGCGGGACGTCTGGTCACCTTAACCTAGGATCACTGCTGGGGGACAGGACTGAACACCACAAGCCCGGCGCCAATACCACCCAGTGCTTAGACAACGACAAGCAGAACAACGAGGAAGGGGGGGATGAAGGGACATTCTAATGCCTGGTGGGTCTCCCTGGACCCCCAGCCCCCTCCTGCACCTCCTTGCACATGCTTCCCCTCGCCCGATCCACTCTAGAGAACCTGACCTCTGCCACAGCCGTCCTTTGCCTTGCCTGCGCTCGCCTGTCAGCCGACAGTGAGGCCGGTTGTCAGTGAGCTCCTGCGCCCAGTGGGAGCCGCCTGAGGGCAGAGCCTGCCTTGTTCGTTGCTGGGTCCTCAGCCTGCCAAGCAGTGGGGGAAGACCAAGGGGGCGGAGAAAGCGGCATCCTTACCATTGGAGACCGTGTACGTGTACCACCCTGACTAGCAATGCCTGGGCTCTCTGCCCGCCCCGCCACCCAGCACCTCCTGCCGGAGCCCTTGCCGCCTGGGTTGTGGGGACTCCTGCAGCACTCTTCCGTCAGCTCATTGTGGGTCATCACACGTGTGGGTGGTGTCACCCCCATCAGTAACAGACAGACGAGGGCAGGGCGATGCCTTGTCAGCTACAGAGCACTTGGCCCCGCCCCCCAAGTTGGATTTAGCGAGCATCGTTGAAAGGGCCCCTCAGTGATTCGGATCCCTCTGCCGGTCACCTCACCACCAGCACTGGTTTATGAGGCTGTTACAGCAACTGGACCGTGAACCTCCTTCAGGGCCCTGCGTGGGGTCTTCCCGTCTTTAGATCTGTGGCTTCTAGTCCCGAGCCTGGTGCGCATGGCTTAGTAAAGTTTTGTTGAATGAACGACTGAGTGAATGATTCTTATGGACATGGCTGCCTTGCTTCTTTTCCTTCTCTGGTGTGTTTTGGGGGTGCTTGTTATCATGCTCTAGAGAAGGGACCCCAGAGAGGAAAGAGCATTAGAGATGGTTCAATGATCTGTCTGTTACGGCATAAAAACCACCCAGTACGTAGTGGCTTACAGCAATAGCATACTTTAAACATCTGGGGTCTCTAGGTAACCACCACCCTGGGGGGGGGTGTCGGGGGGTTATTTGTGGGGCTGCTAAGTGCAAGGTCAGCAGTTCAAAACCACCAGCCACTCTGCAGGAGAAAGGCTAGTTTTCTATTCCCAGAGAGTGACAGTCTCAGAAACCCACAGGGGCAGTTCCACCCTGTCCTAAGGGGTTGCTGTAGGACATCGAGTCGCGTCTTTTTATGTTTGGGCTGTCTGTGTGAGGAATTTGGGGACAAGGAGGCCTGGCTTGCTGGTGGAGTGGCAGG